TTAATCCCCATCAGAATGGCTATAATTTAAAAAAATTAAAAGGGCTGGTGAAGTTGTGGTGGACAGGGAACCCTCCTACACTGTTGATGGGAAAGTAAATTAGCACAGCCACTGTGGGAAATGATATAAAGTTTCCTCCAAAACCTATAGATAAAATCACTATACAACCTAGAAATACCATTCCTGGGTATTTACCCCCCCCAAAATAGGAAAACACTCAGTTGGAAAAAGACACTTGCACATCCATGTTTATTGCAGCATTATTCATAATTGCTAAGACATGCAATCAACCTAAATGCCCAAAAACAGATGACTGGATTGAAAAAATGTGGCACATATACACTATGGAATACTACTCAGTCATAGAGAAAGCAACAATGAGACCCTGCAATTTGATTTAAAGTGGATAAATATAGAAGATTTAACGCTAAGTGAGGTAAATCAGACTTTGAAAGACACAATATATGTCTACACCTAATATGTTCAAAATGTCTATACTTCATGGCAGAAATTGAAAATTTTGAACATGTAATAGCATATGGGGCCGGCATGTGGTGTGGTGGTTAAGGTGCTGGACTACCACATGGTCGACCACAGTTCAAGTCTTGCACCTGGAGGCTTGCGCTCTCTCTCTCTCTCTCTCTCTCTGTCTGTCTCTCTTCCTCTCTCTCCTTCTCTCATCAAATTAGAAAATAATAAATAAAATTAAATAAATAAATATTTTAAAAAGTAACATCCTTTAAAAAAAAAAGATATAATAGCAGGGAGGGCAAGTGTAAATACTAGAGACTGTATAGGAGGGAGTAGATAATAGAGAGTGGGAGTGAGGTACTCAAGAAAAATATACTTAACAGAGAAAAGAATGTAAAGTTGTTTGTTGAAAATGATACATGTATTTGACTGATTGACATGCACAGCATTCTTGCTTTGAAAAACCATATTGAATCCTATAAAGATGTACAATGGTCAAAGGTAAATTTAAAAAGAAAAGATTAGTGAAACTGTATTAAAGGACAAAAACAAAACAACTCTCTCTATCTCTAAGTAAGTGTTTCCCAACACAGGATTACAGAACTATCTCATATCAGGTTAGAGGACTCAACAATGTCTCATTTCTTCATTTTTACCTGGGGCAGCAACTGAACACTCTACTTTGGATCTAGTCTGTGTTCTGACTTTATCCCAAATTTTTGAAAATCCAAGAACAATATCTACAAGTAAACCTTGATTAGTAATTCAACAAGAAAACAGTGAACACTTCTTGTGGGTAATAGACTGGTAGGCCAAAAACAGTTAAGGCAAGTTTCTGCTAGTCACAAGCCCAGAGCACATTTGCCCCATGTTGGAATCTAACCTGTGACAACATCGACAGCTTTTAAATGTATGTTTTAAAGTGTCTCTTATTCTTTATATTTTGAAAAAAAAAATTGAATCTTAAGTTTTGTTTAAGGTTGAAAATTCTTTTTTTTTCCAAACAGAATATAAATAAAGAATATAAAGAGACAACTGAAACTGGTGGGTTTGTGTGCGTACACGTGCATGCACACGTGCGTGTGCGCACGCTCACACACACACAATCTGTTTAATCCTTGGTAACAGAAAGAGCTTTACACCCTTCTCTTTTATTGGCATGTTTTATCCAACAACGTCTCTAGTTCCTCTAGCTACAACAACACCAGAGGTATAAAGAACAAAGTTTAAGAACCATTTATTTAGTTTTTTTTTTTTTTTGCTTTGCCAATATTTTATGCATTACAGATAAAAAAAAATTGAAAGCAAACTTGGTTATTTTTCTTCCAGTTACTCTAAGACTTATTCTGTGTTCAATATTTTCATTCATTCTAAAGTTGTTTTAATTTTAAATCTGACTTGCACTTCATGATGTTTAATGGTCAAACGTATCATATGAATAGTAGTGTTCTACATCGTGGAAGGTTCAGAGGATCATAATGGCCTCCAGGAACATACTGTTTTACAGAAAAGAACAAGTATGTGTTTTTGAAATATTTAAAAAAGGTCAGATAAAACTAGCCATACAGACAGGAGTACACCAGATTCCCATTCCACTGCATCAGGTATTCTGATCGAATGGACATTTGCTGCTGCATCAAAGAAATCACAGGAATGAGCTTACAATCTTGATATGCTCCATCACCCCAAATCCACAGATCTGATGGAACAGTGGGATAATACTTTTTAAATTATTTCCTGAGCAAGAGAGAAGAGAGAGAAAGAGAGAAAGCAAGCACATTTCCAGCAGGTTCCTTATGCCATGATCTACCCCCAGCCTCAGCCGGCCCCAAATATGGGCACACACGTGCTTTGTGGACTCAGGGAAGTCTCCAGACTTGAACCAGGAACTTTCCATGAGAAATTGAGGAGAAATTGTCTTACAGAGCATTGTGTTTTACTGCTATGCTATTGTCTGCCCATAGGGGATAATATTAATGAAAAGTTCAGCAAAAGCACAGGATAGAGGGAAAGAAACCCTTAGAATTAGGGTACTTCCTCTAATATAATGTATATATGCTAATAGCTGACATAGGGTGCTGTGGTCATTATAGCTAGAATTCAGAGTTCTGGTGATAAAAGTAAACCCTTCTTACAGTCAGTCTCAGACTCACATGTGGTATTCCTTT